CCTTGGAGGCTTTTATATTCGAGGACGCTACTGTGGGAACTGTTTGCTTGCCCACTGATATTTTTATAAGTTAATGAGAAGAGCAATTACATTTCTATAGACAAAATTCCGCGTTGTGAACATCTTGCGAACTTTGTCGCGGCATTACATTATTTGCAGACAAATTTTATTAATATTTGCAAACAGTTTTGGGGACTTCTCATTATATAGAAGAAATGATAATTCCTAAGATGAGTTAAGCAGTACGGTTCCTTGTACCGGAATATATTTTAATTTTTCAGACATCTCATCAATCAGGCTTAATGAAATAGATATTTTGATGTCTTTTTATGGCATCGAGAAAATTATTCAAGTACGCAATAGCTAATATTTTGTTGCCATTACGCTCGTGTATAAATCTCTGGCCAGGTACTGCGTTGAACTTCTGACTAATGGAATCATACCCCGCCTCCTGATACGTAACGTATATATGAATCTTGAAGATCTTGTCTCGAGATGCTGTCGGCTATTGCGCATTTTTAAGCGATTGCGTACCAAATTCATGTATTATTTATGTATTGAATACACGGAACAAATTTTATATATTTTAGTTGTAATGAAAGTCGCGCATTTATATATCAATGAACATCCAGTTGAGTAATAATAAAGTTCACCATAATGATGCGTTCTACATTTACTAGTTCGAGTGCACTGTCACTATTCAAGTAAATAATAATTGTCCTTTTCAATTATCCAGAATCTCATGCTTATCGAAGCAAGTTTTTACTGTCAAGGCGAGAGATATTTTTGTGAAAAATTAAATTTATGGAAATGCCGTATTATCATTAGAATTATATTTTCTTCGGTTGGAGACGCAAATTCCAAGCTTTTATCAAAGATATTAATTCATTAAATAAATGTACTATTCATATAAATAATACTAATACTGATTATGAAAATGTATTTTTTACTGCACAGTTTCATAATATTGTTTATATTTGATTAAATATCTAACGCTCTTCATAAAAATGTAATTGTAAGTTTCAGTATAAATAAGATTTTATCTTTAAGCAAACTCAAAAATATCACTGCTATATATTGTTTATTTAATTTGAAATAAAATTGTATAGTTTAATAACAATATTTAAACTTTATATTGTAAATGACATTCGATTATGTATACATTAATGTTATTATATTTAAAATCAGTATAATTTTTATAAATAATCTTCTTGGGTTATATTTTAAATGGTAAACACTTATTTGAAGATTGTAATTTACTGTTATAAATAATTCTGTTTACAAATATTTATTTTTTAAAAAGCTTTTGTTAAATTTTTAATTAATTTATACGTATATTATGCCATCCTAAGAATATGAAAATTACCAAGATATATATGTAATAATCAACAAAAATTTATCCTATTAATTCCTATTATTTCCTACATATATGCAAATTCATCTATTTTACTATTAATTATACTATTAATATCTTTATAATTTTATTTTATTGCCATATGATCAAGATTTGAAGTTATGTTAAGAATTTAATTTTAACTCATTACTTACGGTGTTTATAAATCACTGTGAAAATTTTGTATTCTTAGAAAAATTGTATTGTAAAAATTATAAAAAATACTATTATGTTCCATATTTTTTTTGTACATAATTATCAATATTATCAATTTTAATTTTTTAATATAAATGTAATGAAAGAGCATTAAATTATTTTGATTTATAATAAATAAAAAAGTAAGTTTGTAAATTATTAAATCATCAATTCAAATTTATCACTGATATTTCAATATAAATTTATAAAAAGTATATTTTATTTTGTATTTTGAGAGAAAATTAGAATAAAATCTAAACAGTTATTTTTATAAGAAGTTAAAAATTTTAATAATTATAGAAGAAGTCTTTCGACAAAAAATTAAAATATAATAATTATAATAAATGTAAAAGAAATAAAATAATATTATTTATAATTAGAAATTGTAATTCTTGATATAAAATTTATAAAATATTTTTATTACACAGCTGATTTGGTGTTTATGATTTTATACAAAAAAAACAACTCTAATGTGTTGAAATGGCTAAATTTCTAAGCGTTTATTGTATACTATATATTTTCTAGATGTTATATTCAATGCATTCAATTAAAGCTATGAAATCCGGGTATGAGAATCTTCGCAATAGTTTTTTCTACATAGTGATGATCTGATTAAATCCATACAGAAGCAACATAAAAATTAAAGTATCAAGATCGTGGTGATAACGTGTAAAGATACCAGTATTATGTCAGTGTAATATCAGAAGTAATATCAGATTACAAGCAACACTGAACTTTAATCAATTGCAAACCAATACACTTCCAATTTTGAGCAAAACACACTCTGACATGACCTTGAAAAATATATATACATTTACAGTGAAAGAGAGAGAAAGAGAGAGAAAGAGAGAGAGAGACGTATACGGAGGGAACATTCAGTATCAAATTACTCAGTGCTGATTGTTTAGCATAATTGGATGAATCAATCTGCTACGGGCACGACAAGGGGTCCTTCTCTGTCTCTCTCTCTCTCTCTCTCTTGTGCTTTTTTCATCGTCATTCGAAACTTGCACTCTCTTCTACACTTGCTCGCTATTCGCTGTTTATGAGTGCAGACCAAAAAGATATAGAGAGCTTTGCGAAAATTCAGAGGTGCTTGGTAGCGATCTAATTATCAGCACGGCGGGATATCGAGGAGGCGCGGATGCATTGGAAATTGAGGCCGCGCGACCACCCTGTGATATTTCACGCCGGACGATATTGAGATCGCTGATCGATGTATCTCTTCTTATTCACAAGTGTTCTTATTTATTTTAAAAGCGAACTTTTTTACTTAATCAGTAGCGTTCTTTGACCAAAAATCTTCTCGACTACTTCTCTTTTAGACTTTTTTATATCATAGAGTTGGATTTATTGCTTTCAAAGAGCAACAAAGATACGTTATTCTACAGTGAAATTTTCTCTGAATAGTGATTTATTTGAAATATATTACTGTAAATTAAAAATCTACTCTTAAAGAGAATATTTTTGAGGATAGATAATACAAATAAATGACGTGTTGATATGATTTATCTTATAATGTCGAATTACGAAATATTTGTTACATCATAGGAATATTAGAATTTTAAAAGAAAAAAAGAAGAGAAAAATTCAAATATATGTATATATATTTATTTCTATTTATATGTTTTCTACTTATAATACTATACAGTAAGTTATTCTTTATCAGTAATGTACTAAAATAAATTTATAAAACTTTTGTTAAACAAAACATAAAAAAGTATTATTATTATGTGAATTATATATTAAATTATTTAATAATACTATTATTTGTATTATATCGATGATTAGCTACAATCAATTTGGATACGCATATTATTTTATGGGGAATTTTTATTGTTTATATTATTAATAACTTTTTTCAAATATTGTTTTTATTATTATATTTTTTATTATTAACTTTAATATATATATATATATATATATATATATATATATATATATATATATATATTGTCAAAATTAAATTCAGTCTCTTTTGTCAATGACATCATACGAACATTGTTTTTGATATTTCCATTTTATATTCTAAAAAAAAAGAAAGATTGCAATTATTTTATTCTTTATTATTCTATTTTTTGCAGTTTGAATAATATGTTATTTAAATAGGGCATCATGAAAAAGTGGCGTTATGAAACATTTCAGTAATTTAAACTTACTAATTATTACTTTTTAACAATGATTTTTAATACATTCATTTGAATAATAATTTATTAAATAAATCGTTTATCGATAAATTTAATATCATTTATTTTTAAGATAAAAATTTTACAATTTTTTTGGGTTTTTGAATATATGTTTAACTTTAGTACAAAGTATTAATTCTAGAAATTAATCTATATTAAAAAGTATTAAATATTTTCTTTAATATAATTATATTTATTAATAAATTAAATATAAATGTAGAGTTTAACTATTGTATAGCAATTATTAATATTACTAATAATATTGTTAATATTTAAAAATTTACCATTAAATGCTTATAGGTTTCACTATGTAATATTTTTGTTAATATAAAATATTCTTTTCGTATTCTATCACTTTTGCAGGTTTGTCAACATTTGCATACATTTTATCAATGTTTAAATCTGATATTAAAAGGAAATTCATGTGACTGAATAAGATGAGAAAAGCTGATTTATAAATAAGTATTCCATAACAAATAGAAATCATTACATGTGAAGGATAAAGAAAGAAAATGCAGAGAAAAAAGAAAAAAATACGAGAGAAGCGTTAGTATGGAGGTTTGAATGTTCCGGAAACGATAGTTTGAAAATCACGCTCTCTCGGCTTTGATCGCTCAAGTAAGCGTATGCGCACGCGTTGCATTCGTCAGATGAGAGTAAGAAAGAGGTAAGCGAATAAGAGAGCGAGAGAAGAAGGCAGCGGCCGTAAGGTGATTAAGCATGCCTCTGGCTAGCCGGCGCAGAGTGAGAGAGAGCAAGATCGGCGAAGAAAGCAGAAGAGATCTGAGAATGATACTCTAGAATCTTACGTGAAGAGAGCGGGAGAGATCTGAGAATGAGACTCTAGAATCTTGCGCGAGGTGAGCGAGAGAGTATTACCAGGTGGAAAAAAGGAATAACGAAGTACATTGCATAGCGTCTCAACCAAGTGAATATGCGGGTGGAAAGGCTCTCCGCGAGAGACGAGGTAAGGAAGACAGAGAGAACAGTTAGGAGTGAGACACGGAGAACAGAAAAGAGTGAGAAGCATCGAGAAAACGAAGAGATGTAGAGGGTGGGGCAGACTGGAAGGCGAAGGGAACGGCATCGTACAGTGCAGCAGTACTCAGCTGGTGACGGTCAGTGAGCGCTCGCTGACCCCTGACCCGTCTTCTCTTCTCTCTTCTCTGTTTCTTTTCTTCTCTCTCTCTCTCTCTCTCTCTCTCTCTCTCTTTCCTTCTCTCTTACTCTCACTGTTTCTTTCACGTGTGGCTGCTTGCACGGCGTGGGCGATGGAGCCGGGGCCGTATATTGGCCCGCGGGCGTCCTGGGACCGTGAGAACACCACCTATAATATTATTTAGTCTGCCCGTGCCTTTATCCTATGCGCTTTCTTGTCTCGCAATGCAGCAGTGTGGCTCCCTCTCCCTCCTTCATGTTCATTGCTAACAGTCCTCTCGCTCTCGTCGCCTCTTCTTCCTCTGCGTGACCATCTTCTCGTGTACATCTTCGTTCTCATACTTCTTCCTCACCTACGGTCTTGACTGCAATAAGTGCATCCAGCCATACGCATCGTACGCATTCTGCTCAAACGCATTAATTGCCGTCGTAAATTCTTGTGGGTCCGCAGTTCATCGTAGTTCGCAGTTAAGCCCAACGACTCTCCTGTCTCCAGGCGTTCCGAGAGGCTCTTGACGCCGATTTCGGTGACTGAATCCGTGCGCCGAAGATCGCGCGCTTTCGCTCCCTCGCACACGGATTGCGATCAGGTTCGGATCTGCCGCCAGGTGGCTCCACTAGCAGCAGCAAGCAACGGGCACTCTATGCAGTCGTGAAAGCGCCGCGACCGAGTGAGCATCGCGTTCGTGTTCGGGCCGTTCCGATGCCGGCACGCACTCCAAGTCGCCTGCATCGCGCCGGATATAGCTGTCGCTCCTTAATTACAACAACCGAGCAGTGCCAGCTTCCAGTGTTCTCAGCAAGGCGTCATGCAGCAGCAGCCGCTGCCACACCAATACCAACAATCCGAGCCGACAGATACAACGGAGTTACACGATGGCGAAGCGTCTGCAACTGTGGCGGAGATCGAGCCCGCCGCGACTGGACTCTCCAACTTGACCTTGCAAAGTGTTTCACTGAGCCTCCAAGCTGCATTACTGGCGGCATTACAGCGCGCAGCTCTTTTGCCCCCAGGACATGCTGCTGCGGCTGCTCTTAATCTTCAGGCTCTCGAGACTTATGTGACGCTTCATCGACTGCATGCAAGCGGCGCCGCAGTGGTGGCGGCCTCGACCGCTGGCATCGAATCCGACCAGCTGGGAAATCTGCACTTACAGGAGGAGGAGAGTTCACGACTTGAACTGCTAACTGAGCCAGAGGAGGATCTAGGGCTGTTGGAGGATGCTGAAACGACGAGATTATTACCTGAAACGGCTACGGGTCATGATTTGCTACTGCAACGGATTGCCGAAGTTGGTTCTGAGCCTGTGTGTGGATCTGGATACACGGATGTTGTAATTGCAGGATCCACCTCTCAGATTGTTCAGCCCACGACAGAAACCTTGCCTTCTAGATCCTGCCGTACTTCTAGACCTAAAAAACAGTTTATATGCAAATTTTGTAGTCGTCAGTTCACCAAAAGTTATAACCTTCTTATTCACGAGAGGACGCATACGGATGAACGACCTTACTCATGCGACATATGCGGCAAGGCTTTTCGTAGGCAAGATCATCTACGAGACCACAGGTAATTGGATTTAGTGCAGTGCTTGATAATGCATCAAAGGTTATTCCTTAAATAGAATATAAACTTTCCTTACTGTTCCATACTATTCCTTACTACTTCTATTTAATTTTTATTTTATTTAATATGGGAATAGTTTATAAGCTTTCACTTAATCTGCGTTAAGAATCGCAATTATTATATATTATTATCAGATTAATAAATACAATTTTAATAAATCGTAAATTTTAATACTAACAATTTACTGTATTATTAAGAAATTTAGAAAAGTGTTTCGTACGTAATTATATATTTTATACTTTTGATGCTCAATATGTTCAGCTTTTTTCAAATGCATATGTTTTAAGTTTATTGGAAATCGTTCCACATGTTGTAGGTACATTCATAGTAAGGAAAAGCCATTCAAGTGCGGGGAGTGCGGCAAAGGCTTCTGCCAGAGTCGCACCCTTGCTGTCCACAAGATCCTTCATATGGAGGAGTCGCCGCACAAATGTCCTGTGTGCGCCCGCAGCTTTAACCAACGAAGCAATCTAAAGACTCACCTGCTTACTCACACCGATATTAAACCCTATCATTGCTCTTCTTGCGGCAAAGTTTTTCGACGAAATTGTGACCTCAGAAGACACTCGCTCACCCATAATCTTGGAGTGATGGCTAACACGTCACCATCTACGTCACCAGGTCTACCATCCGTTGTAGTACCTGTTTCCGGTGGCGTTATTCTTCAAGAACCGTCTTAATCTGTTTTTGCTCTCTTCCTCTATTTTTCATCCTCTAATTTTTGGTTATGCGTGAGCAATTAAAATATGTGTTAAGTAATTCATTTTTAATTTATATTTCAACTTCAAATACATTGAATTTGATGAAGCGAAGTTTGTTGAACGTTTAATTTAAATGTTCTTTTAATATAAAAAATGTGATATGCCTTTACAATTTAGCATTTTAAACTATATTCTTTTGATTCGTAATTAATTTTTTCACATAATTTTTATTGGGTATTCTGATTTTTCATATATCATATTTTCTTTTTATTTTTTATTTTTTTCGATACTGTACAAATCATTCACTTTATATGAAATTTATTCAATGAAGTAAAAAATTCATCATTTCTTTTTATCATCTCTTTTTTAATAGAAATGTATAATACTCACTGATTAGTTTTAATATCGATATACAGACAATACAATATATCAAAAACGATTTTATGATTGCGCTGTCGTTATAAACGTTGCGTTTTACGTCTTTCTTTTATTTTGTCTTAATAAATCATAAGTATGTTCATTGAAATTTAAAATGTAGGCTCATGCTCACCGATATAGATGTGTCATTACGTATATGCACGGGAAATCACGTGATATCTGTGTTCTGGTGTAAGTGTAAAAACAATTTATTATTATTATTTTTTTATTATTATATTACATAATATTATGTTATATATATTTTTATAAATTTTGCCAAGTGTATGTTCTTCCTTGGTTTCTACCATATTTTGCCTATCATTTTACAATATTTGTATATATGCGCGTGATATATTAAATTAAGTTTACTTAATAATAAAGTATAACTATAATTATATATGATGTTAAATTAATTTGTATAAAAGCCTTTAAGACTCCATTTTTATAAAGATCCTTTCTTTTCCTTCTCTTTCCTTGTCATTCATTTTCTCTCTCCACTCCCCCACTGTCTCTATCATTCGAAACTTTGCTAGGAATGTATCCGTAATGTATATGGTAATTATTCGACGGAATATTATTAAATTATACCTTGCTCGCTAATTACAGTCGCAGTCTTGTTTCTTACCACAAACTTAACTCTGTCGATTATGCACAATTTTTTTTTATTTTCTTGATTCATGTTCATGTTATCTTCCTGTTATCTTCTTTTAGTTATTTTTCCCTTTCTCGATCTCATTGAAACTATCTATATCTTGTATGTGCTTTACTGCTATGCTACAAAACCAACAGAAATGCGTATTATGTTACAAAGAACGAACCGCTCAGATGCTTGCAGACATGATACTAAGATGCGTTTAAGTTACCTTTGACTTTCTCGTTCTCTCTTCATTTTCCTTTGTTTTAGTTCTTTCTATCATCATTTACTTTTTCAGTTCTTCTGCCTTGAAAGTATCTTAAATGATAAAATTTGAACAAAATATTTAAGTATTAAATTTGTTTGAGGTCTATTTTACTGTTCGCAAATACACACTTTTTCTCTTCCTAGTTTTCGGACACTTATCATTCTACATTTGAAAAATTTTGCTTTCTATACATCTAATAAAAATAAAATTTTTTATTTTTGCAGTATAATAAGTAGTTCAAAGCGTAAAACAAATTATATGCGTTTTCATAAATTATTAAATTTTAGATATGAATAATTCTATTATTTGAATAAACAGAAATTATTATATTAAAAATAAATATTTATATAAGTACATTTATTTAATAATTTTATTCCAAATTATTAATATGTATGTTAAGTTTTCAGAAGTAACATAAATTCTAGAATAAATATATTGGGATCTATTTTTATTGTAAGGAATTGGCGTATAAACAAAATGTAGACAAAATTATGATGGTAGAGTGCATTTTTGCAGTTTTTATTTTTTATAATATTGTTACGTATAAAATATTTAATTTTTTCTAATTTAGAAAAATTTGGAAAAAACATGATATTTATTAAAGATGGTTAAATATATAATTTAATACAATAATTAAATTAGTAAATAGAAAATTATATGTGTGTTTGATATTTAAATATTTTTATCAAAAATGAATAAAATAATAAATAGCACAAAGTTTGTTAATACACAAATCATAACTATTAATAATTAAATTAATATTTAAGCACTTAATATATGTATATCCGATAGTTCAAACAATATTTTATACTGAGTAATTTATCAAAATAATTGTTAAAAAAACATAATTTTCGAATCGAAGAACTTGATCAAGCTTAAATAAATTAATTTTTGAGTACTTTTAGCAAATATAAATGAATTACTAGTAACGGACAATTATATTGTAGAAGTCAGAAGTGAAAGAGTTTTATTTTGAAATTACATCTAATACAAATTAATCTACTTGTACTGACGACCCGCGCAACCAATTATTTCTAGAAAATACCGCAGTTAGGCAATGACATGTGTGAACGCTTCGAATACAGACCAGAGAATATGTAAATTTTATTAGATATTTGCTGCACTTTAAGACACTCACGTACATCCTGTCAAACTACAATCCTGCAATTGTTAAGAATTAGAATAATTTTATATTCTTTACTAGAGAAAATTATGTTTTAACATTTATTTCTTTTATCAAATAATAAATTTTTTGTCATTAGAGTAAATTTTGAAATTGCCTGTTTAATAATACTTCATTATTATCCTTATAGAAATAAAATATTTTCTAAAATTGTAATTTAATTTATTATAATATTATTGAAAATATTGAAATTGAAATGAGATAGTTATTTGTGTATATTAGATTAATATGGACATCCAAAATATCAAATTTTTCATTAAGAATTTTCATTTTATAAGTAATTAAACTATCATAATCCACATTCTGTTAAAATAATCAACTTTTTAATTTCCTAAATAATTGTAGTATTGATTAAGATATTCATTTAAAAGCCTACATTTATTAATTTCATATTTTATGAGGGGAGGAGTATTTTTGTTTTAAAAATATTAGGTCATTAAAGAGGTATGTATTGGATCTTTTTCACGTTGTCTAATCATTTACAATAGAAGATGTAATAAAGAGATTATTCATGGTGTTTATGGGTGAGCAGTTTGTTTGGATTTTGCAGGTAATTCAAGATTAAGCTGGGTGAAAATATTAAAGTGGCGGTCAAGCGACTTCAGATTAAAACCCAGATTCTTCGAATTATCACCTTTGTAGTGGGTTACTTGTATAATCTAAGATCTCATGATAAAAGACTATAATAATGTAAGTCTATAATATGGTGATTAAACTTTTCACTGGCTTCAATTAATCGAGTACAATTCATTCTCGATTAACCATAGCATTAATTGACTCGACTCTGTATTAACGGTTAATCTTTATAATTATAATTCGATCATCCGCGCACTTGTGAAATTTTTACTTTTAGCCTTTTCAGAAAGTTGAATATTAATTCTTTATTAAACTATATTTTCTGATAGAATAATTGAATGGAGAAAAATAAGAAAATAGGTATTTGATTTATTCGATGAATTGAAGAAAGGAAACATTCTATGCTATTATTGTAAATCATAATACTATTTTAACTTCGTGCTTATCTTATTCCAATTTGCAATAACATTAATGTATATTTTTATATTTATATAAACTGTACAAATAAACATAAATTATATTATTAAACATCACTTGTATTATTAAACAATGTAGCAACTACATATAAAAAATAGAGGAATTTATAATTATATAGTAAATTATAAATAAACGAAATTAATCTATTGAACATACATTAGTTGTCATATGAAAGGAAAGTGAGAGATCAACGAGTATGTAGGTACTTAATTGTTATATATAATTTTATTTTTTTATTATTGATTATTATTATGTATATCGGTTAAATATAATTTCTTTAAAATAAAATATAATTTGTTTCGAATCTATCTAATGTTTAATTAAAAAATATAAAAATTTACCAAATAACATACTAATTTTAAGCGAATTATTTCATGCAATAAACATAGCAGAACCTTTATAACATAATAATAATAAGTAACCTCATATGTAGTTTTTATAAATATATTTAGTGTACTATTATATGTTATAACAAGAATTAATATTTACCTGATACAATCATTTAAGTTAATTTTATAATTAATATAATAAGTGTATTAATAAATATTTTGTTTATATTTTGAAATCATTATATTTTAAAATAATTTGTGCATTTTTCATGCAACCGTATAAATATATATATATATAATTATTCACACATAAATAGATTTCTAAAAGATTTTTATTATATATCTTTATAATTTGAAATAAATATTTAATTAGTGCTATTTGTAGTGACTTAATTATTTAATTTATTAATCAGTGATTCATCGATAATTTTTATGTATCAGTAACATTTATAAGGATATAAATATATAAAATATTATATAAAAAATACATTTTTATTAATTTAGTAATTGTAATATTATTGATCGATAATAATTAAGATATATATTTGTAATTCTAATTTTAATATTTATGTAACAATACATTCATTAGTTTACTGTATATTACTGCGTATTAAATATATAGTTTTTTTTGGTTTTTTGAATTATGATAGTTAAAATAAAGTTTTACACATAAAAACAGAAATATTAAAATAATAAATTATTTATTCCCTTATATATCCGAAGTTAATAAAATATTTATCTGATTTATAGAATAACCGACAGCGCCAGTTTTTTAAATCTACAAATATATTAATATATATAATTAATGCATTTAATATCTAAAGTAATATATCTATTTAAACAGGGAATTACAATGTATAAATCTCTAATGTTGATAGCTATTTAAGAATATTGTGAAGAGCGACGACTGATGATCTTCTTTTAATTGTTTAAAAATGAGAATATACTGCACATAATATAAATATAATTAGTTTTCACTTCTATGTATGAAAATGAACCTCTTAATCGATTTACAATTTTTAATATACTTTTAAAATTATAATGTATACGATATTAATTAAAATCTAGATTAAAAATGCATTTTCTGTGAATTTAAGTTAACATTAATTAGTAAATTTTAAGTATTTAAATAATAATTTACCAATTTATATATGTTTAAAGATTCTGGCACAGTTTGTTATATATTATCATATTAAAATGTTCATTATCCATTAATTACATTTAGTACAAAGGAGTTGTTAAAAATTACTATTCGTTATAATTCCAACAA